AGCTGGAGAGATGTGTTCAGCCTTTTAAGAACCATTAGTGGCATGCAGAGGGCCCCACAGAGGAGCAACTGCTGGCTGGAGAAGTAGGCTTTTTCCCCCTAGGGTTTTAGGATGTGGCCTTGGAAAAACTAGGAGCTGAGTAAGCAACTCGGTCCAAGTTAGCACTGCAAAGGGCAATGACTTCAGCATGCCCAGCATTTACAGGAGAACATCCAAGACCTTCTAAATAAACCATCAATGAGCTTGTCCACAGGTGTGAGATTCTTGTCATTAGGGCAGGGAGCCTTCCCATGAATAACTGCCTAGAGCTGAAACGACCTCGGAAAAGTCCTAGCAAAGGATTTGACTTTTTTTTTCCTCCAAACGCTTGTACACAGCAGGGAAAGTGAAATCCCTAGTGAACCAGGTTCCATTTTAATTTTTGGATGTCCACAGAGAAAGAAATAATATTGCCAACTCCGTTTGCATTACAGATAATATACAGAATGGCTTTTTTTCCTCTCTGGGGAAGAGGAAAGGGGTTGAAGGTGTTTTCACACAAAATTTCAATAGTCCAGTACAGAGCAGAATGATGGTTTGGGCGTTAAAGACATTTATCCATTTTTTCATGAAGAAGAAAAACATCCCACAGCAAAAATCCAGTTTCCCACAAAAGGCACAGCTTCTTTGCAAGAAAAAAAGCTCAGGTTTGGACAATGTTGCGGTGGATATAGGCAATGGCAAGAGAGAGAATCATGTAATTTTAAAATGCCACTTAGGCATTTTTTTTTACTTCCAAAGGCAAAGACATCTTTATCCAGCACAACAACCCAGATCACATCAAGGTGAATTTGCAGTAGGATGCTACGGCTTACAGAACAAGTCATGAATACTTGATGTGCCTTTTAAGTACCTTAGTTCCATATCTTGAAAAGAATTATCCTTGCACAGACCAATGAATCTTGCATAGACATTCACTGCTCTGACCTGCTTCCTTAGCTCCCAGTTTAAAAAGGATCCAAATAACTTCAATCTAAGCACGTTTTCCCATCTAATCTCCAGAATGAAAAAGGTAACAATATTTTTCAGGTATTGTTAATTCTGCTTTGAGGCAGAGGGATGGATTAGCTAATCAGTCTCTTCAAGGTCCATTTTTTTTTTTATTACTTTATCTTCGAACCTGGTTTTGTTAGCGTCAGTTCCCACAAAAGTTTTCTCTCCTATGTATTTATCTTCGTATTCATATTCACTTCAGTAGCAGACTTCTGAGACTATCCAGAAGTAAAACATCCCTTAGTATTGCTTGAGTTCAGGCTTTCTCTCTACCCGTTGCAGAAGATAACATTATGAGCCTTTTTAAGAAGGACACTTACACCATCTCATCTGCAAGGCACTGATCCTGTGATGAAACTAGAAGGCCAGAAGGAGACAACAGAAACTGGTAGAGTGGCGTGGTACACCCAATCTGCAGAACAGGCCTTCGCTGAATACAGTTGACCCCGCCCCTGTCACCACCTTATCTTTGCTGTTATCTATATTATCTTTGAGAGTGACCTGGCCTTGAGGGTGGGGACAAGCAGCAAATCTGGACTCAAGTCCAGCTTCGGGGCTGCTATGGCACATAAATATAGATACAGTCTTGGGCACTTCTGTGGGTTTGTCACCGCAGGATCTGAGTATTTTTCAACACAGTCATGCCTGCTGAAATGGGAAATATGCTTTTATTGACAGTCACAAGTGAGGGACTGTGACCTAAATATTCTAAAGGGGTGTCCACAGAGCAGATAAGGGACCAAAGCAAGTTAGCTGTGCTGGCATGATACCCTGGCCAGTATGACTGAATTGTTGTGTAATGCAGCTACCTGGTGATCTTTACCTCACTGAGGTGTACCTGGGCAGCCATACCCTCGAGGCACACCCAAAAGGCATGTAGGGTCTTATTATCAACAGATAGTAGTACTGGTCTACTTCACCAGAAGATAGACTGTGAGGGTATGCAGCTTATGACTTACTTTTAATGGTGGTCATAGGAACACAGAAATCACACCTACTCTGTAAAAGTAAACCTTGACATACAGAAGATTAAATTTAAAACTTAAATAATTATATTGTCTGAGTGCATATCAAAATATTTCAGGAAAAAGCAGGAGTTTAAAAACAGAATTAAGTGATTAAGTGAAAGGAAGGAAGAGAGAAAAGATGATACTAGAATGACACATGAGGCCACAGAATCCAGGAAAATTTGTAGTGTCTTTAAAGCATCGCTCTGAAGAGAAGAACGCAAATTTGTAAAAGAGACTCTAAACTGAGGATAAAAAGCTCCTGCAAAACTTATGTCTTACTTATGTAATCTGCATTACCATATGTTACAGAAGTTGTCTCTCTTGGTGTTTCAAGGAACCAGCCTTTTAGTGGCAAAGTCTTTCCTCAGCAGTGTGAAGCAAACAGGCTTTCCCCTCACCCCACTCCCAGCCTTGTTCCAGGCTTTTAAGTCACAGGTGACATAATTTGCTATCAGCTGCTACTGTGAATTCTAACAGATTATTATGCTGCCCACTGATCTGCTATGTTAAAATGGCTAATTAAACACACTGTAAAAAAAGACTGGTGCTACCTCCGGAGATCCACCAGTGCAGTATGATATCCTATTTAATCTGAAAAAGAAAAGGGTGTCTCAGTTTCTTATCTTCCAACCAACACACATTTTCAAGTGCGAAACGCATTGTAGACTTATTACATAGTTGAAAAGAATTGTCTTCTATTTCCAGTATGGATATGCCATGCATATGTTAATGAAATACTTTGATATTTATACATTCCATTTCTATATTTACATTAAAAGAAAATTTTTTTAAAGATTAATGGAAGTGAGAAGAGCTAGCACTATAAATGCATCTTTATGGTTTTTACCAATGAAATATTGATTCCAAGAGAAAAACCCAGATCTTTAACCTAAATATACTTCCATTTACAGATGCAGTGCACGCCTTCACTTTCCTTTGGTACGAAAGTCAAGCTCTGTGAAGAGGGAATAGAAATAATTGTGGGTGGGGTGAGGAAGGGGGAGCCCGAGTCCATTTTTAAATTGAGTTTATTTACAGACCTAAATCCCCAACTACATGATTTCACTCCTTTGATCATTTCTTGGCAATTACTGTAAAAAAAAGTATAAAAAACACAAACAATTTTAAAGGGCAGGACCAGACCAAATCTCCCTAATCATTTGTATGCTCTTGTGACTGTCTGGGGGTCTTCAGTGCTTGTTAAATATGCCCTATTCTGACCTGGAATTCCAACCCACTGTTCGAAGACATGAAGAAAGCCCAAAGACAGGCTGCTACTAAGGAAGCCAGAGCACTACTTTTGTTCTGGATCTTGGGCAAAGGAGGAAAATGGTTTTCAAAGTAGACTCTGCCAGTTGTTTAATCTGCTAAGACACTTTTTATTGCTTTACCTCATTTAGTATTAACGTATAAGCCATCCACTGGCACAAGGATTGGACTATAGACGTCCTTACTGGTTCTTTCTAGTTTGCTTACAGTGACTTCCGTAAAGAAGGCAAAGTGACAGGCTCCCTAGGTAAACTGAAATGAGACTTGCATACAAACAAGTTCAAGGCTTCTGATTCATGAACGATTAAAATGTACAGTACTGTGGAAGCAGTGGAGAAAAACAACTGAGCCATTTTCCCAAAAGAAAGTAAAACTATGAAAGATGTTTCTGGCCTTACAGTCAACCCAACTGCTTTCTTACAAAAAGCTTGCGACAGCAGAGAGGTACCGAAAATGCACGTGATGAAATAGTGTACCAAGGGTAATGATCCCCTCCCGCCTTTTTTGTATGACCCTTCTCAAATTAGCTGAAACTACTGTGGGGAACTTCTTCAATGAAAATCTGTGGTACATATTACCGCAGCACAGGTTAAACAAGGTACCAGGGGGTGAAGTTCATCAAAGGGTACCACTTGTTGCCGACCTCGATTCTGACACTCAATCTGCAGTGGCAAGACAAGTGGAAGTTACTATTGATTTGTTCTGACTGCTTTGGAAGTGCAACCGCTTTCTGCTTCTCTCATCTTTCACATCATTAATTATCTTGAAAGAGAGCATGGTGTACAGACAAGACTTGTTATGGAGAAAACTGTATGACTGGACATGAGGTGACAGTACAAGAACATGACTACAGTACCAGAGGATTAGCGCAGGCAGATTATTTTGCCTTTAATAATGCCTCTGAAGGTACAGTCAGTAATAAGCATCTCTGAGAAACAGACCGGTTCTCTTCAGCTGTAAAAAGGGAAAGTAGGATTTGTAACCCTTTAGTCACTTTTCCACCCTTTTTACTGAATACATCCTTTGCGAAAATCCTGGACCACATATTTTTTAATTTACAGTCTTGGGCAGGAAAAAGACAGACTACTGAATTTCTCACCATCCTAACCCAGTCCTCCAACACTCTGGCCCACACGCTCGCTCATGCAGTCTCACGTGGATCCACTAATTAAAGTTCTAGTCCTGCAACAGGCTCTCACAACGATGACACAAGAGCCCCAGCAGAGAGCGGAGCAGGAAGGATAGGCTCTAGCAAATTCTAGTTCCAGCATGAGGTATAACGGATGGTGCGGTTTAGCTGTCAAATTAGTTTAGCAGAAGCTCTCCAAAGAAAAATTCAGCCCTCTGCAGAAAACAAGGTCAATGATTAAACACTCAGTATACTTCCTCTTATTCAGTCCTAGCCAAAGCCTTGAAATGAAGCGATAAAGAAAGATTCCTTTCAGCCTCAGTGCCCACATTTCAGAAGGATGTACCTATCTAATTCAGTATCATATACCTAGGAGAATAAATAAAAGACTATGGGATTCCTGACTTCAACACCATTTGACTTTTTTTTTTTTTAAAAACCAAAAGGCTCTGAAACTGTGTTTCCACATGCTATTTAAGGATGCTAGGTGTTCCCTAGACTCTCACATTCATTTATACTCAGAATACTCAAGCTCCTCTCAGCACAGCTCCCCCTTTTACCTTCTGTCGCTGCTGAATGTTGCTCATCGTGTCTGGCTGAAACTCCAGCTTGTCTGTTCGACAAAGTTTCCAGTATAAAATAATAACGATCAGGAGCACCACAGCAACTGGGACTGCCACACCAACGATAATCCATAGGTTGCTATTCTGTGACTCTGAGGTGGACTCCTTCAGCTTCTCCACAGCTGTTAAGTTAAAAGGAAGACAGCAATTTTATGTGGTTATATATTTTTAAATGAGGACACTTCAAGGTTACGTATTTTTATGTTCTTGTAAATGGTAGTTAAAGAATTTATCAGAAACCAGCCGCACATCACAGGAAATGTCATACCACTTAGAAGTTAATGTATGTCACGCTCAGGAAGCATGGGGCAGGTGATCGATTGTCCTGGCCTACCTTCTGAAGACCCGTGTTTAAATTACTAATGAAAATACACTTCTGCCACATCATTCCGTAATCCAAAACTGAGCTGACATAGTGAAATGGGTCCAGAAAAATGACTTACCACTAACAAAGGTGAGAAGGACTTTCCAACCTTATTGCCTGTACCCTGCTTTAAGCAGTATTATCAGCTGCCTCTTCTCTTTAGTTATACATTATATATTTTGTTACCTTCCCCATCAATAATCACAGTCAATTTGAAATCAGTAAGACCCTCCTCCCCAAGGTGTATAGTTCTGCATTTTTTATTACTTTTTTTCCTTTCTCTGTTTCATTGTCAGTGTGCGAGCCAAACAGATGAAAAAACTACTGGAAAGTGTAATCGAACTGGTCATGTATGTAAAAAGTGAACTGGAAGAATCTACAAAACTTTCATTTGCTCTATTTTGCATAGTGGCTATATGTGGGACTAAAAACCACAGCAGTAACACACTTCTAGTCAAACTGATGCACTTTCCTAAAATGATGTTTTCACATTAAAAATGGTATGTCTATGCAATCTTATTTTTATATATCATTTTTATTAACAGCCATTCTAATGATGAATCTAGAGATTAAAGGAAAATATTATAATTCTTATATTTTATACATCTGACAGCTCATTCATGATATTACATTTTTTGTTATAAAAATAACCTTTTTTTGTCTACTTTCTTCCAATAGGAAACATTTAGAAAAAATTCTACAATTCTATGCCTCTTAAAAGAACTTTCTAATGACACGTCAAAGTTTCAACATGCAGAATAAGCTATATACACTTCATGAAGTTTGTTCAACACTTACCATTTTTTGTAAATGGAATTTATTCTTGCAACTTTTTTGCATTTCTGTCTAACCAATATTACAGTCCATTAACAGATATTAAGCAGATGTATATGAGCTACTGACCTATCTTTAAACTACTGTTTTAATGAGGGACAAAATTTAGAAACACATCCAGAAGGTCCAATTATTACTATTTTCTTTCTTTTCTTTCTGCAGAGAATTTTAAAAATCAGACACATGCCAGTTCTATTGGCAAAATACCCTGTGGTACAATGTAACTCATGCCTCCATATTGCACAGAAAACAGAAAAGGTAATTAAGCATTCGTAGCAATGTTGTATTGTATATGATCTATTGTAGATAACGTCTGTTACTGTTTTAAAATATTTTCAAGTTTCTTTCCTAATCATAACATGGAATTTTGAGTAGGCCTTCTGTCTTGCTCCTTATTGCAATTTACATACCAAGGTTCCTGAATAAAGTCATTATGACTTTCTATGACCCGTCATATTTATTCTGCTGTGTGTCTAGTAAAAGATTACATTCCTTTTATATTATCTTTATTAAAAGATTACATTACTTATAGATTACTGATGGACAAACAAATAAAAATAAGGTCAATCATATTCAGTGAAGGAAATAAACTGTTTCTTCTTATACCCTCCAAAATGCCCCAACTAGCATTAGCCTGCATCTTTCGCTCACAGAAACGATAATTCAGACAAACAAAAACCAGTGACTTGTGTTAAACTTCACTGCCATTACTCAGCTAAAGGAAACACCCGTTTCACTGGGACGCCCACCCATCCCACAATCGTGAGTTGTGTGCAAGCTCCTGGGCAAGATAAGCAGTATAGAAACACTGGACTAGCAGAAAGAGATGAAAATGGCAAGAAGGTATCTAGCTAGCACAGTATTCTCCTAGCACAAGCACTAAAGTGAATGCAGTGAGGCTTGCACTTAAGGACCCTGTTGCAATTCCAAGCTCAGCAGGGTCCTCAAGAAGCAAAGCAATACCACATAGCTCACTGCAAGACTGCTAAAATTTATTTCCTCAGGAGCGTCAAAATTGCAGCATCCCAAGAACAAAACACTGCAACACTGGGCACACTGCAGTGCCATAGTCTCCAAAGCTAATGTCACCCTTCCTGTTTCTCTTTGCTGGCATCAGTGTGGATTTGATAGGGCTTACGCTGTGCAACGGTGCCTTCAATGCGGTATCCAAGGATGATTGCAGCCCGCTGGATATCAACTCTGTTCATCAGGTCTGAGCACTTCAGAGCACTGAGTCTCTCTCCATCTTGGTCCTCCACAAAATAGATCAGCTCCACGGGGTTATCAACACCAACTAACCGTGACACGTTCACAATCTGAGAAGAAATTGGAAAGCTTTTACATTTTCAGTTGTATTTATCTGGGGCTCCCATACATTTGGTCTTTCAGTCCTTACCCTCTCTCCCCCTTCCCTTCACAGGGCCTGGAACTTAAGGACACTTATCTAAAAAGAAACATTTGGACCAGCTTTGCCAAGATGGCATCAGTATCTGTCTTAATTGCCACTGTGTGCAACCCCTAGTGCATAAAAAAGATTCCACCTTGTATTATGATGTAGAAATACAATTGCTGTTAAGGAAAATCTCTCTATCTGTGACACCAAAGAACATGATATTATACTAACCATGTAACTGCTGTGAACTGGCACAGTTTGGAAACCGTCAATATCCAGAGAAGTCTGATGGGAAGACATGCCATGTGTAGTGCTCCAAAATACAGTATGCAGCAAAAGCAACATACACACAGGCTAGTTCTCTCATCTGAGAAGAGCTTAAGTCAACATTGGACAAGCATAGATACACAGAGCTAATATTCAGTAATAATAATTTGTTTCCAAACTAAAATTCAGGATATTTTCACCTAATACTTATACAAAAGATTCTGATCGGAAGCCTTCCAGGGGAAGACAGCATTGCTGGAGTAATATATTGCTGTCTAATTACACAAGCACTACTCAAGTGCTCCAGGACCCTGGGAAATTTACAGAAATATCTATTTTGTAACTGAAAGGAAAATTTCCAGGGAAGTGATCCCTTGTATAATACCTTTTTATGGCAAACCTGAAGTGTCCATTTTTTTTTCCTATTTGTTTCATGAAAACATACAGATCCAGTATTGAAGAGAACTGCTTTCACTCTAAAGATGCCAACACCATGCCACCCTGGAAGTCTCCTCTGCCTTTAGCATTTGTCGGTTAGCAGGAGCTACTGAAGAGATTAGTGTGATTGCACTTTTCCTTCTCTAAATACCTACTTTGACTTTGCTTTCTTATCCATAACACACACCTCTTTGTTCCAGTTTTTCCAAATGTTAAGCAGCTACGCAGGCAAATATTCTGTTAGCTTCAAATAGAACTGTTTGCTCTTCCTCAGCGAAAGCACCTGCACAGTCACCTTCATCCTCCAAACAGCTCCCCCTGGCATCCACCTTTCTTCAGGAAGGAATGTTTTTGACACTGTGGGAAGCAATTCTTCCTACCTACTTCTAAAGATGTTAATAATCAAAAGAATGCATGCTATGAGGAAGCCCTGTAGATACTCTCTAACCACCAAACATCTACATAGCATATAAGACTCACAAAACAATTTTGAATTCCTGTAAAATTAAATCTTACATATAACAACTCTCCTCTGTTTAACCATTTACATGTAATGGTGAGCTCAACCTAGAATTAGGCCAAACAAATAGTAGGAGGTATTCTATCATGTAAAACAGAGTTTGAAGAGCTCTGGAAGGAATCGCCACAAGTAGAACAATATATTTAGTTTCCTTCAGAATTATCCTTTACTATGAAGTACGTATTTAATATAACAGAATCTCAAACACTGCCCATAGGCTTAAAGTAAAGCAAACCCACAAATGTTTGCATATCTGAGATTTACAAAAGCAAAGCTTTGTATTTTTTCCTTATTAGTTTCCAACAAAATAGTCATGTTGAAGGAAAGCAATGCGATATTCTGGCTCAACAGAGATGATGTTCTGGTCTTTGGGGACATCAACTCAACATGTCCTAAAAAAGTATTTCCCAGGAGTGAAATACTGGATATAGAATTAAAAAAAAAAAAAAGGAAGGAAAAAAAAGAAAGCACAATTGTCATAAAAGTCGTCTAGGCCAAATCAACTGAAAGCAAAGAATAATGTTCAACATCAGTCACATTTGCTGTAAGAAACAGAACACCTACAAATAGAGGAGGAAAACGTGCAGATTTCTGAAATACAGCAAGACCTGCTAACAGGACCCATTAACCAATGCTGTTCTCATCCTGAATGCTATTCATTCTTCTACCAGCTAAGGAGCAACCAATCCCTGACTGAAGGTAACAAAAGAGTATCAATAAATAAGGTTTCAACACACATATTCAGCAGCTTTAAGGCTGAATCTGGTTTCACAGAACCCAGATATATCATTAGTTAACAAATGCCCACATCGTTGTATTTCTGCTTCAGCTGGGCTGCCTCACCACAGCCTGGCCTCAGAGCAGCAGGGTGTATGGACTGGTATCTGCTTTCAGCACGGATGAACCCTTCCTAAGTAGCACTTAAATCACATGGAGAAAAAAGGAGTTGAAAGGCCACATGGGACTGAAAGTCAATGGGTCCTTCGTTTGATTTTATGAAACCTCTCTGTGTGTAGCAAAGCTACAGAATCAGAGAAATTTAGAAGATTCTTAAATTGAATTGTCACACATTTTATGGCGGCATGGAGTACCCTAAAAGTACTATAATTATATGTGTGTTATACATACAGGGTAGCAGTCAGAAACTGGCTGAATGGGTTAAAAAAGAAACTCCCCACAGCTAGCCTTTAGAAAGACAGAGGGGAAGGGGACAGATTCCAGTGCAAGTTGCCACAACTGAAGCAACACAATTTTAACACAGAATAAAAACAACAGTGTATGGCTCCCTATGCTGAGGAACAGGGATGGGTGAGAACAGTCAGAGGAGAGATAGGAAGAAGTAGCTGGAGCTATTTTGGCACAGTATAGAGAACAAGGGAACGAGCATGAAGAAATTCAGTAGAGGGTGGAGGCGCAGGCTGGTGTTGATGAACTAAGCTCACTGTTTTAAGATAAGTTTTATCTGAAATAATTCTTTCTGAATACACAGTATTTTATGAGTGCTCACACCATACTGAGGGAAGCTGCAGACAAAATTTAAAATCCAAGGGGAGATGGTTATGGATTTCTATTCTGGGAAAGCTGATGGCTGAGCAGGGTATTCTTGAGGTGACTATGAGACACAACTAGACTTGTATGTAAACTCAGCAATTGTGACAGTACTTCAGTTTTCATGTCTGTCACCCTAGTTCACTAAAAACCTTTTTTTTATTTAAAACTAACCTCTGAGTTTGCTGCAACACAGCAAATGGCACACGGGATCTGAACTGTTTTTAAGTCTGTTTATAGAATTAAGCCACTGCACCCATTTTTTTACAGTTTCTGTATATACTAGGTTTTGCGCCATTTTGCTCCAAATTATACTCTGTGCAGCTTCAGACTGGTTTTGTCTCATATTTTAGAGATGTCTCTTGTCCTTGAGAGTGCTAAGAATGCAAGCAGAGGCAGAAATGATACTTTCAAGGCATCCAGCAATGCAGCCCATGTGTAAGTAAGCATTTAAGCGTTTTACATTTATACTTTGGCAGTAAGGGATGACATAGGGAGGAAGAGATACAAGAATTTCAATACATGGGAGGCAGAAAATGAAAGAAAAAAAAGAAAAAAAAAAGAAAAGACTAATTCAACTTCTGTGTACATAAATGATACCATCTTTGTTGATACTAGATGTGCATTTAACCTCCAAAGAGTAAAGGCTTAACTGTGTTCAGGTGTCAGTAAATTTAATTTAAAAAGTGTTTTCAAGAGAGTATCATAGGTCAGTGAACAGAGTTGCCTTGGTAACCAAATCTAGTTCATAATTTAAAGCGGGGAAATCCAGGTGGTGGGCAAGCTCGCAAGGCATTCGCAGAGTGTCAGTCAGCCAGTGGGATGTCCCAGTCAGCAACCCCGTCAGGGGTAAGGAATCCCTGGGTGAACTGCTTCAGGTTTTCTAAGGCATGAGCATTACTTAGAAACAAGCAAACATGCATGCACACAATCTCCAGAATGCACGTATGAGGTTTATGTTCCTTTTTTCCACTACGTTCATCCCCTAGGAAAAAAAAATAATCAAAAAAGATTCCGCTTTCTGCTTTATTAAAAGTAGAATTTTAGTGTCCAGGCAATTCAATCAAGCTGTAACTGCGGTCTGA